CGCCGCGGGGAGGGAGCGCGGGGCGCAGGGCCGGACCGGGCCGGCCGCGGGGGACCGCGCTGCGGGTCGCCGGCAGGGCCAAGCCGGACCGGGGGCAGTGTGGCGGCGTAGCCGCGGTCGCCGGGACTCGCCGAGGGGGCGTCTGGCGCGACCGAGAGAACGGGCGAGACTCGGCGGAGCGTTGTCCAGCTGGGCGCCCGGGCCGCCGCGACCTCCGGTTCTCGGGGGACTTGGCAGAGGAGACCCGCCTGCGGGAGGGAGCGAGAGGAACAGGTCGGCGGGTCCGGGCAGGGGGAGAGAGAGGGCGAGAGCAGCGTGAGCGAGAGAGCGAGCGAGCCTTCGAGGGGTGGTGGGTGTGTAGGGGGACGAAGGTGTGTGATGTGTCTGCACGGAGTGTGTGAATGTGTGTGTAGGGGTGTGTGTGCCTCTCTGTGTGACTGTATACACTGCGTGTCTGTGAGAGGCGTGTGTGTGCGTGTGTGTGTGTGTGTGTGTGTGTGTGTGAGAGAGAGAGAGAGAGAGGGAGAGAGAGAGAGGAGGCTGGGAGCTCACAGAGCTTGGGTCTGAACCCGTGGTAAGAGGGAGGGGGCTTGGCAGAATCGGATGTGGGTGTGTGCACACGTGTGTGTGCAGGGGTGTGTGAAGGGTGAGTGTGTCACGGGTGCTAGGTGTGGCTGTGTGTGATGTAAGGGGGCCGGGTGCACGTGTATCCCTGGCTCACCCTCCCCTTCCCCCACCAGATGTGTGTTCATGGAGGGGGTATTCAGGGAGGAGGTAGGACGCGCCTGCAGCAGCCCCTTGCGGGGCTTGCCTGCCTGGCCATCTTCCCCGGGAAGCCGGAGCTGGCCAAGCTGCCCCTCCCCCCAAATGCTTCTAGGGTTAAGGGGAAGGGAGCAGGCCAAGCCCCAAGAAAGAGGAGAAAGGCCGAAGGGACAGCTTCTGCCAGACCAGGGCACCCTGCCTCTCTGGCGGGAGCCTGGCTGCCTTCTCCACCTCAGCCTGATCGCTGGGCTCTGCGCTTTGCCCCTCCCAGGGCCCTGTGTTCTTTGGGGTCTGAGTGAGAGAGGGTGCCAACATCTCAGGTTGGAGCCCAGGGTGGGGGGTGGGAGCAGCGTGAGGCTTCTCCATGAGTGTTGCTTGCTCACAGTTGTACTAGCAGAAGGGTGCTTGGCACGTAGTAGGCCTCAATAAATATCTGAGGGAGGACAGGAAGCGAGGCAGAAGAGAGGGAGGGAAAGGATCTGAGTCGGGAAGTCTGAGTGCCCCCCCTAACTATCAGGGAGAAGGAGGGCGGCTGATTGCGTTTAGGCGCAGCCCCCAGATTGAGCAGGTTGGGGAGCAGGGGTTTTGGGAGAGGGGCTTTAGCTAGAAGAGAAGGAGAACCGCGGGGAAGAGATCTGTTCTGGTCCTGAATGGAGGGAGGAGCTGGCAACTCTCCTTGGGCAGAGCCCTTTGCGTCCTGTCCCCACCACCTGCTTCTCTGTGATCAGCAACCTCTCTCTGGGGCATCTGATCCCAGGCAGCGAGCGCTCATATAGCGCCTCTCCTCTCTCCAGGATCTTCAAGCTCAAAAGGTGCTGAAGAACTGAGCCCCCTGCCCACTGAGGCCACCACCCAAGGCCAGGTGGGGCCATGGCAGGGCATGGCTGTCTGGGGCTGTTCTGCTGGGTCCTGCTTGCCGTTCCTGTGGGCCCCCAGCCTGTCTCCTCCGTCTCGGGTGTCCCTCTCACCACTTTGACCCCACCACCTCGGAGTGAGGCCTCTATGCTGTCTCTCAACCTGGGACTTAACTTCAAATTCCACCTTCGGGGACCTGCTGCTGCCTGGGGGATCTCTGTCACAGAGACCCAGCCGCTCTCTCCTGGGCCCAGCCGGGAGCCAGAGGAAGAGGTGGCCAGGGGGCTGAGGACCGACCCCATTTGGGAACTGCTGGTGGGCTCCCTTGGGAACTCCCCCCCGGAGTGGGGCTCTGCTGAAGGCAGCTCTACGCCCTGGGCCTCCTCCCAGTCTCCAGAGTCCACATTCCCCCTTTCTGGGCCCACTGACCGGCCCACTGCTCCCTATCAGCCCGGGATGGGCACTGTCACCTGGGACACTGCTCTGACAGCTACGGCACCTCCATCCAGTGCTCCCAGGCTCCACCAGAGCGAGCTGGAGCTGAAGTTTGACATGGCACTGAGAGCAGGCGCAGCCCCCACGCTCGGGCATCGAACGCTGCCCCTGCTGCCCAGCCTGCGGGCCAGCCTGGCAGAGATTGCTGGGCGCCTGGGACCCTTTGGTGAGTACCTACCCCATCTGGAGAAGAGCCCCTGCCAGGCAGCCTGGCAGGTAGGAGGAAGCTTCAGCCCGGGCTCCTTTTGCAGGGTTCTTCGGCACTACTCTGTCCCCGCTGCGGAACTTCTCAGGCCCAAGCCCTCTAGGCCCCACTCGATCCCCAAGCTCTGCCTCTAGAGTTTCCGATTCTCCAGGTGAGTGTTTATTTCGTTGCAACAAACACTTAGGGCACACTTCTATGTGCCAGGCACTGTGCTAGGGGCCTACTCAGACCTCCCTGTCTTCTTTGACTCTGTGTTGCTTCCCCCACCCCCCCCACCCCCCCCCCCCGGGCCTGGGACACGGGCCACTGCTCCTATGGGGAAATGCCCTCTTTGCCATACTGAGTCTGATTTGGTCCTTGAAGCTTACCTCCCAGCGTACATGTGGCTACAATTCCTGTTCGGTATACATTGGCTCCCTTAGGGCAAGATCTGGGGAAGGACAGGATTTTCTCCAAAGCCCCAACTGCCAAGACTGGCTGGCAGGACAGTGCTTGAACCCCACGTGCTCCTTTTGCAGGGTTCTTTGGCACCACTGTGTCCCCACCCCCAACCCCCCTGGAGGGAAAGCTCCCAAGCTCAGGCCCTTTGGACCCAGCTGCTTCCCTAAGGTCTGTCACGGTCGCAACAGCATCACTAGGTAAGTGTCCAGTTCACTTGCACGTGACATTTATTTAGCAGTTACTACATGCTAGCCACTCATTGGCGTTCTGGGGCTCTTTTATTTCGTTGTCATCATAATCATAATCACCATTCTCTTCATCGTCACCATGGCGATACATATTAATGGTCTGAGAACAAGTGTTGCTGGGGACAGTCCCACACAGAGTTAAGTAATGGTCCTCCGGGAGTTTTGCAACCACAGGCAGCGCAGGATGTAGACAAATGTATCAGAGGCAGACAGACACAGGGACTCCTTCATGATTTCCCACAGCCTCAGTACCAACTCCACCCTTCACTCCAGTCTGCCTGGCCTGCCTCTCCACCCCCCCCCCCCACCGCCCCAACCTTGGGGCTCTCTCCTTTGCCGTCTGATCTGACATGACATGTTGTCAGATATGGGCAGAACTGGGCCCCTCATTGGGAAGACAGTGAAGAGAGGACCTTCAGCAGACAGACGCCACCCTTATTTAAAGGAGTCTTTCAGAACATGCACCCAGACAGGCTGGTGGTGCAGAGGAAAGACTAGGGGCTCTGGAATCTTGAGATTGGCTCAGAATCCCAGTTCACTGACCAACTGGCTGGGTGACCTCGGGAAAGTTATTAACTCTTCCTGAGCCTAAATTTGCTCGAGTATCTAGGGCTTAATAATAGTACCTATCTTGTTATTGTGAAGCTTCCAGAGCATGTAAGCTCCTGGCATGAGGCTGGGCATGAAGTTGAAGTTTCTTAAATAGTAGCTGTTAACCTTGGTTCTGCCTTTACTGCATCCCAGATGCACCTCCAGAGCCTACCTCTCTGACCCCGCAACCTTGGCGCCAAGATGTGATGGCCACCATGACCCACAGGGCAGAGAGCACTCTCAGGCTCCGGTAGGTGAGGCCAAGGGAGCCACGAAGAGGGACCCCTAGGCCCAGCCTCGTTCTGCAAAGCATTTACTATAGCTGTGAATCCACTCAGCCCTTCACAGTAGGCACCAGCTCCGCAGTGGAAAGCACTGGTCCCCCAGCTCCTTCCAGTTCCGGACTTAACACAGCACCTGACTGTAGCTCACTCCGGAGCAGTCACTGCGCTCCCGGCATGTGAGCGAGGAGGCTGCTGTCTCCTCCCCATCCAGAGACCTGCTGTGGGCTGGGGGGGGGGGGGGGGGACAGGCTCTGTGGCCCCGGGGGAAGGATGCTGGCTGGCGGTCTGTCAGCCTCGGTGACAGTGCTGGCCAGGCAGGTTTAATGAGTCTGGACAGTATCAGAGGAAGCGCAGCTCGCTGCCCCACCCCCTCCCCCCTCCTTACTGATGGCTGCAGGAACTCAGCCTCTTCCTGGCTAGTTCTCTCAGATAAACCCAGGAGGGCGACAGGCCCCTTGAAGAGAAGGCCAAGGGGCCTTGCTCAAGCCAGCAGTGTATTAGGGGACAAGGGGAGTCCCTGTCTCCTCTGGGGTCTTTCTAACCTAGGTGTGGTTAACCTTTGACTCTAGGACCTCTCTTTTGAATTGGGTCCCCTTCACCTTGGACAGAACCAGCATGCAGCTGGAAGAAGTTGTGCAGGTCATTAACATATCGCAAGACTTTCCTACCAGTTGATAAGTACCCACTGGGCTTAGCCCCCTGAGCACTCGCTCCCCTCCACTCCCCGGACACCCTGGCCGACATCTGTTCTGATTGGCTGCCACCTGTGCCCTTTACAGTTGTCCAGTATTTCAAATGCCAGCGACCCTTACAAAGAGGATCAATCTTCTATGATCCGAGAGGTGGGGGTGGGGAGAGGACTGGGGCCAGGCCGCTGAATGGACCACAGCTTCTATTGGGAGAGAGAGATTCCCCAGCCCTTTGATCTGGGCAGCTGGTAGATAATCAGGCCTGACTTTTCCATAAATCGAGCAGGCCCCTCTCCCTGACTCCATCCCAGCCAGCTGCGACCTTACCAATTACTCACATTGACATCCTATCTCCTTTCTTGCCCCTGAGGTCAAGAGGGGCCACAGGGCCAGAGTGGGACTACCTTGTAAGAGAGGGCTCCTCCAGAGAGGGATCTAGGAAGTCACTATCTTCTGGACTCCTCTGGGGGAGACTGAGGGCTCTTTCTGGGCAAGCCTCAAGTGGGAAAACAGGGGATGAGCTCAAATGGACTCTCCAAAGACAGAAGCTGGGTATTCTCTGCCTGTCCCTGCCTACAACATGGCCCAACCCCGGGTACACAGGGTATGCCCAGTCTCCCAAGGAAGGAATGCTCCTAGTTCAGAACTCCCTCCTCTGACACCTGAGCTACGCCTACACTTTGCCTGTTTTCTGCTTTTGATTTTCTTCTGGCTTCTCAGTAATGTTCGATACTTGCTCTCCTTGCCACAGTGCTTTGGGACAGAGGTGACAGATGGGGTTTCTTTTGGCCCTTGGGTAAGAAGTGGAGCCTAGAGGAAGGTGAGGTAGGACAGACCTCTGAGAGCTGTACTTGTCTGCACAGTGAGCAAAGAGGAGGCCGTGAGGGGTGCCAGGCTGGCTCAGGCTGTGGGGCTCCCGGGCACAGTCTCATTGCCTTTCTGCAGAGCCTGCTAAAGCCGAGGAAACGCCAGGCGACCTCATCCACTTTCCAGAAGTGGTTGGGCGAGAGCATCTGAGAGGACGAAGGAAGGGGGTTGAAGGAGGAGGTGCAAGTATTTGAACCTGTTCATGTGGGACTGATGCCTACCCCTGAGGAGCAAGCCATCCCAGCTGAATGGTTCCCCTTCTAATTCCTGTCTGTGTCTTCATTAGGCACTCAGGGGTGGTCAGTCCATCCAAATGGTGTTCTTCAGATAGGGTTCGCACAGTGAAACGATGTGTTGATGTTTGCTCATTTGACTAACGGTGGTCTTCCTAAGCAAGTTTAGGACGTGCTGAGAGACAGCAGCCTTTCGTTAGTTAAATCAAGAACTAGTTTGAGGCCAGAAATGGTCATACTCCCGCGGACACAAACCGATGACTGATCGGTGATAAACATTAGCTGATAATGATGATACCAACAACGATCACATCTCGAATGCTTATTATGCACCAGGCACTCGGAGGAGCTTTGGACACGTCGTCCATTTATCCTCCTAACAGCCTTATGCAATAGGTGCTCTTCCCCAATTCAGACTTGAGGAATGTGATGGAACAGGAACCAGGGCACATACTGCCATTTGCAGTAGGCAGCAAGCTGTGTATATTTAATTTTTGGCTGCTCCCTCTCTGCCCTCCCCAGTTGTCTGATTCTATCTTCCCCTCCTCTCTCTCCAGAGCTGCTTTCTGCCCCCCTCACTCCTTTTCCTTGTCCTCAGGATTGCTGTGTTTTGCATGTTCCCAGCCTGAGCTGGCAGTGCCTGGGGGTGGGAGTGCACCTGGGGTCTTCCTATATTGTACAGCTGGGGCAAGGCTGGAGCACGGCCAGGCTGCTGGGGCAGGGGTCTGGCTGTCAGAAGACCTGCCCTCCCTCATTCTGCATCTGCCTCCTGTGCACCTTCCCCTCCTCACCAGGGTGTCTCCATCCTTCACCACCATGTTTCTCCCTCCATAGTGTTTGCAGCTGCCGTCTGCTGAGCTTGCTAGGTGGAGTAGGGAGAGGTTCAGCCTGAAGCATCTTCTTTTGCTGCTTGGCCGTGGGAAGAATCCTTGGATCTCTTTCCAACTCTTCTCTTGCTCCAGGAAAGTAAATTAGGGATCTTACTCCTCACCCTCTTTGACTGGACATCCCTTTCCCCAGGGAGGGTGGGGAAGGTGTTGGTGCACCGAGTGGGGCTAGGGGCCTAAGTTAGCAAACCCTAGGGCACCTGAGGGGCTCACTCACGAAGATGGCACCTTATCCCACTATGATCTTCCCAGTGGTTCCTTCCTGGGAGTTCAAGGGTAGCCTTGAGACCCCCCGGGGAGTCCATCTCAATGTCACCTATAAAATGGAGAACTGAAGTGGCTTATATATTAAGAGTCTTAGACCAATGGCTTTGTGATTGAGTCAGGATGGGGACGATGGCCATGAGTAAGCCAAGGGTTGGGGGTGTGGCAGACAGGAAGGCCTGTGGATGGGAAAGGTTGTGTTCTCCTCAGGTGCTGGGGACGGGAATGTCTTACCTCTCCCCCTGCTGCCTGCATGCATGTGTGTGTAGGGGCTATTCCTGAAGAGACAGAAAGGGGGAGGCAGTTGAAAAGGGGCAAGGGAAGCTTCTCTTAGCACCAAGGTGGGAGTTGGGAGTCAGGGGCACAGAATAAGAGGTAAGCAAATCAGTGTCATGAAAAAGCTCTGGAATCACGAGAAGAGGCTCAGACTGGTGCTTCAATCTGGATTCTTTTTTTTTTTTAATTTTTTTTTCAACGTTTATTTATTTTGGGGACAGAGAGAGACAGAGCATGAACGGGGGAGGGGCAGAGAGAGAGGGAGACACAGAATCGGAAACAGG